TATAAACTTGATGAGTAGTATTTCGAGCCAAAACGAGCCGAACACGAACAAACACATCTTAGTTTGTGTTCGGCTCGTTAGCTTATCGAACAAAATTAACAAACCGAACACAGGCTTCTTAACGAGTCGAACACGAGCTGTTCGCGAACAACGAGTCGTTTTGATAGCTTTAGTGGTTACAACCACCTATTAAGCCAATGAGTGCCTCAAAAACCTCTTTGAAATTTGTGAAAACCGATTTTACTCATCTAGTAAATCCGCTGGCGCTTAAGCGCGGGATCTCGGCGCTTAGGCGCGACCTTCTCTGTTTAACCGACGCTTAAGCACCGGATTTGGCGCTCAGGCGCAAAAACTCTTGCACAATTTTTCACCTTTTTGCTCTAAATTTGATCCTTTTTCACCTTTTTAAGCATTTTTTCCATTTTTACTTGTATCTGCAAGAAAAACACAAAAATACCTTCCATTAAAGTGCAATATCTCAAAAATAGGTATAAAAATGTGTCTAAAAATACTATATATTTTAAGTGTATGAGCACCCGAACTGTCCAATAGTGTTTCCTCAGCGGTTGTGCACAAATTTGGAGATATATTCACAGAAGAATCGCTGAGGAAGGGATTTTTCGACATTTCTAATTTCTCCAGAAAGGATGAGAGGTCGTAGAAAGGTGTAGGAAATGTAGATTTTTACTTCTTTTTGGATAGATTGGTGAGGGGATTTTGAGAGATATTTGTAAGGGATTGTATTAGCATTACATGGACCAGCAAGACACTTTGTTGGAGGGAGTTTCATCTTTCTTTAAGAGGCAAAAAGTTAAGTATTGTGCTCTTCATTTTCTTGTACTTTTTGTAAACACTTATTTAATGGATTTCCTTTGAATTAATCAAGTTTTTTGTTCTATGTGACACCAGCTTTATGAAGTAGAATTCTTATACTTTTCTTTTGCAATGAATTAGATGAATGTTTAGGATGTTATAATAGGTTATTCATATCATAGTGATGGTTCTTAGTTCATGCTTCATTTAAATATATATTCGGTCATTTGGTATGTTAAAATTTGTCGTTAACCCATAAGTTCTGGAAGGGCTATGACTTTAGTAACTAGGAGGAACCACATTAAACTTATGAGTAAAGGAAAAGTAGACCAAAGATTAATTGGAATGTTAGGAAGATATTTGTTGATATGGTGTAACTGGTGTTTCTAGGGCGACAGACTAGTTTCCTACCAATTTGATCTAGGGCTTCATACCTTAAATCTAAGATTGGAGGGATATTAGGAGAAGGAGACTTTAGGGTGACAGGCTAGAAGTTTCGTCGTGACAATATAGTTATTTTAAGGAATCAACCCAAGCTTAACTAAACTATGCTATACACTCAAAAGAGGTTAACTTACATTTTTTCTCCTATTGTCACTAGCTACATTAGATTCTAAGCATCTCATTCTTATACATTATCTAAGTCCCCACAAGAGAAAGGTAGTTTTTACATTTTAAAATTTACCAAGCCAATTGATCTATTTAGGTTTAACTTTAGATTTAGGTTTGTATTTAGGAGTATTCGATAGAAAAACATTCTTAATCGATGTTCCAAACTAAGAACTGATAGTAGTAGACTAGAACTTAGCCTAAGGGATTTCTTACCTTGCTTCTTTGTGGGATCGATAATCGAGACTCTATTAGAGCCCTATATTACTTGAACCATACGTATACTTGCGTTGATAAGTGTGACTTTACCATTATTGAATATTATATATATACATCTTTATCGAACCTATAGAAACTGGGCCAAGTTTTTGGCGGGGAAACAAAATAACTGTGTAATTATGGGTCGGGTCATTCCACCCTTTCATTCGTCTAATAAAAATATTTAACATCAGAAAAATGAGAAGATTATGCAATAAAAAAGATAAGAGAAAACTTATGAAGTCCTTATCCACTTAGAGCCAGGTGCAAAATGAGTCAACACACTCTTAGATCATGAATAGTTGAAGGATTAGGAAGACGCTTCCTCATCTCCTTACTCCTCTTATGTTGCTTTTGAGGAAGTACCTCACAATCGCTGATTGGTAGGGGCTTCTTTAAAGGTGTTGTAGGAGTCAGCTTATGGGGACTGTTATTATACATTTTCAACATCACTGTCAAAGAATGCTCAAAGTGGATGGAAAGCTTAACCTTGAATAGAGATTTCTCACTCACAAAATCATAGATGTGTTGCACATCAAACTACATCTCCTTAAGATCCCAACATCCTAGCATATGTAGTATTCCTTTCCTTGTTTCTACAGATTCTCAGTCATTCCGAGCAAAGGAGTATCTTATTGACCACTGTCTCATAAGATCCTTCAATTAGAAATCCAATGTCTTATTTCTTAAAAGCATGCAACCATGTGTGTCACTAAGAAATCTACCAAATTAGGCCACAAATCTCCAACATCAACTTTGACCCATAATTTCTAAAAAAAGACGATCAACCCAAAGATGATTTTCAAAACCCAATAAGAAATCTGCCAATCTAAATTTCAATCATCTTTAGTATATCCATTAAAGCGGGTGCCGACGTGAATCATAAATCGGCTCCCAAGACCACCTCATGAATGGCGACATATTTGAGAGGAGGAGAGTATGATTAATCAATTGAAGATGGTAGCTTCACCACCATATCATTTGAGAAATAGTACTCCCACCCGAACAAAATTAATTCACCGTTCATCACCTTTGACACTGCCTATAGGGGTTCTAGCACATCCTTTTGTTTACAACAAGGCAAGGTTCCCCAGATATCACCACCTTAGCAACGTTAAAGAAGATCTGAGATTTTCTGCTAGGTAGGTTAGGGACAACATTAATCTTTAGAGCAATGATAAAGAAGATTCTGGATTGCTTGATAGGTAGAGCCAGATACAGCATTCTCCTCTTTATCCTCATTTTCTTCATCAAGATGATCTTTCACTCTCTTTGGGCTTGGGATGTTCTCCACTTGCACTTCCACCTTCCTCCTCCTCTTGAGATAATTTTTGTACTCTTCCTTTCTTGGGCTTGGGAGCCCCCTATGGATCTCCTCCCTTCTTGTCTCCTCTTCTATTAGCCCCCCCCCCCCCCCTCCTCCTGCTTCAATCTCCCTCCTTTAGTGATGAGACTCTCCACATCCTTAACTCCTTTTTATTGACCCAGGAAGACCAAGTCTTGCATATTTTGGCCCCAAATCTAGCCTATGTTTGAATTAATCTGGGTCCTTGGACCCACCAACTCATCCAAACTGCCAAACATAGACTGCCGGCTCCCACCACTTGATCACAGTCATTGGATGCATTGCCTATCTCCATCGCATGATCATAGCCATCTGATTCAATCCCATAGATCACTGGCCAACATACGAGTCACACAGTCGCGATCTCCATCTCGCTGTGCCATGTAGATTTTAGCCTGCTCTGGCTTGACGAATAGACCAAGTGATCTGCTCTTTGGCCCAACTTGGTCCTATCGACCTGCCTAAAAAAGAGGCCATGTAAATGTTGGAAGGGGGATTCAAACCCCTTCTTTAAGGGTGTAAAACAGAGCCTGACTAATTGAGTTGAGAAGTTCTAATACTTATCAGCAGGTGTTTTTTATTCGTATATTAATCCAACTAAGATATACACACTTATATGAAAATAAATCAAAAGTTTTTGTAACACATATAAAAGTGAAACACACACACACACACACACACAACACCATCATAAAAATAAAAATTGTAGAATTTTGATATTTTCGGGAGACAAGGTTGGTTACACCCCAAAATAGTGGGGCAACTAGTACAACATCAACAATTTTTCTATTATTTAGCATGAATCTTCGTGCATGGTATAAATCTCAAGGCAAAATCTCTAGCAATAAATTTTCAATCTTCAATTAAAAGTTATCTAGAACTTCAATTTTAGTATAGTAGTCAAATTGACCGACTCTACAAGACGGGCCTAATGATACCAAATTAGTCAAATCTAAGTCAATTCAAGCCCACATTTAAGAGATTTTTGGGCATAATTGGAAGATCGAACAAATTCCAAAACTAACAAGCTTATAGTCAAATCGAGTGCACTGACAAGTCAAATCCAACTAGCTCAAGATCGTTCAATTTCGACTTCATTAAGACACTCAAATTGCCATCAAATGTAGACTAATCAAGAGAAACTTTTTAAGCCATCCGGTCAGAGTGAATTGGATTTCTTATTTATTTGCAACATAAATTTTATAAATAGAGCCCTAGCCCACCCTTGTGAATATGACTAGATCTTAAGCAAGAAAAAGGCTAGAGCCTTGAAAAGCGGGAGCTGAAGCCTAGGGTCCTGGATTGGAGTGGTATAAATATAAAAAATAAAATTTAGGTGTTAGATATAAAAATATACAAGAATTTTATATAATATGTATGAAAATGTCCCATTTATATAATATGTTTTAAATTGTTTTACTAAGCGGAGGTGTAATGCTCATTTTTCTAGAAACAACTCTCTCACAGCTGTAAGAATACAGCTGCAACAAACAAACAACAACTTTCCCCACATTTCTTACAGCTGCAACAAACAAACAACAACTTTCCCCACAACAGCTTCCTGGGCAGCTGCAGCTGAAAAACTGAGAAGCTGCAACTACCCCAAACATAACCTATGTTGTCATTTCTTGCTTGTGGTATAAAGGGCTGTAACTATAATCTCCAACTTATAGTGCAATATTCCAATTATCTATAATGACCCATGATTTTTCTCCTTTTTAGATTATCCAAATAAACTTTTTGATGTCTCTATTGTTCTTAATTTTTTTTTATGAGAATATGTGGTGAAATTTTATATATAACATTAAGATATTAATTGGTTAGTCTATTATCATAAATTTTAAAGCACGCATCAATATATATATATATATAAAAGATGTGATTTGCAATATAACCCATTTTAGCCCGCCTTGCGGGCTAGATGTATTGAATTAGGGCAGAACTATAATCAAATAAATCGCATCCTCAGCAGTCCGTCAAGATTTTAGCTTCCCAGTTTACCTTTCCGACGTAGTTTTTCAATTATTTGCTGGACCTCTCACCCAAGCAGGTTCGATATCTGAGACCCCACTAACTTTCCGCTTCTTCAGCGACCGACGCTGCTGGATAGCTGCCTATTCATCGCCGGCTACTTTGCCGTCCTTTAGACCTCTTTCCGCCGTGGCCGAGCAGGGATAAGCTGTGAACCGAAAGGTACAACGAATATGGATTTTTATCTCAGAATGGAATATTTTAAGTTTAAAGCTTTTTTTTTCTCAGCAATTTTCGTGCCTTACGAGTCTTTTAGGATATAACTCATGAAGGGTGATTGCTGTATATTCAGATTTAGTAAAACTGTTTGGTGGGACTTCTATTAAATATCTTCAATCCTGATGACAACTATTGAATATTGTTAAATCCTCATAATTTGTTTGACTTTTATTTAGGATTTCAGATATAAATGAATATGATAAAAGTCGGATTTAGCTAAGAATATTTATACATACACCGCTAAATTCTGATGTATTTACACATCTAATACCTAAACATTAATATTTACTTGTCTAACACTCAATTCCTAAACATCACATCAAAAACATCACTAATATTAACTTTTTTTAAGTGAAATACATCTTTTAATATATATGTTTTGATAAAAATATGACATTGAAAGTTATATATATATAAATATCAAAATTTAGGTGTTAGATATGTAAATTCATAAGAATTATGTGTTAGATTTGTGCACATCATAGATTTGACCATGGTTTGATTGGCCTTCCATAACACCTTGCATTATCGGATTTCTCATACTTGACTATAGTAACTAGTTATATAAAACTATTTGTGCTGCATAGTTTTTTTTTTTGTCTTTTTTATTAATTAAATTATCCTGTGCAAATAATTTGAAGGATAATACAATAAGAAAATTTTCTCAAACAGTATCTAATGCATTCTGCTTGTTATTTTCTTAATACATGAATTTGTTGATTATCACTACTCTTTGATAAGTGTGATAATTATCCTCTATTTTCATCTTAGTCGTTTGATTCCATCCATTAGATTGAATGTAATGGCACAAGCTACCCAAAGATGACAATAATCATATAAAAGTTATTTTTAATACATAGTATCTAAAGGCATATAAAATAAACTAGTTTGAAACATAATTTAATAAATAGGTTCCATCAAATAACACTTATGCATTATTTAGAGTTTTTTTCTTAAACATAATTTACTCGTACATGTCACTCTTTGATAAACAAAATAATTCCCATCTTCCTTTATCTCAGTTTTATTATTCCATCTATTGAACTGAATCTAATGGCATAAGCAACCGGAGATGACAATGATCATATACCATCCATTCATAACACAACATGAATCCTTACATGGGTGGCCAATTGTTGATTTCTCTTGTATATTCCATACTAGTTGCATGCCCTCACATTGTAATGGGTGGTAAAAATACTATATCAATTAAATATGATTGTACAACTCTTTTGATTATTTAGATTTTAGATATTTTTATTTCTATCTGAAATGATGGCAAACAAGATACATTTTTAGTGAAATTTAGAATATGATATTTACACTATTATAAACATTCATGTATATTCATACTCATAAATTGTATTAAATTATATATATTTAAACTTAGTTGAACAAGTATTGGTTGGGAATTGGGATACTCTATATTGTTTTTGTTAATGTTTGGTAAGCTTTGTCTGAATGTATAATATAGGCTGGGCCTTCTCTTGAAAAATATTTTCATGCATAGCTAATTTTATTTTAAATTTCTTAAGCAACTTATGATGATGAAAAATATGGAGGCCTTCAAGATCATCAAACCAAAAGTAAGGCATACATATCTGGCTCCCCTAGGTTCACATAGTTTTTACATTTATGAATCTTATATATTCAAGGAACAATACAAACAAAATGTTGATAGTGAGGCTTGTGAGAACCTGTAAAGTTTGTTATAATCATATGGAAAAATGAACTTGCAAGGGGAACAAATTAGTCAGAGAAAGATAAAATTCATTGCAACTTACAATGTAAGTCCAATCCTAAGACAACACAAAAAACCTTTGAACATCATCATGCTGAATCCACAGAAAAACATGTCAAATAAATGATAAACTTAAATGACTAGAATATCAAAGGACTATAATTTAAAAAGGGGAATTATAATTTTATCATGGCCCGAAGGCAAACAAAGTGGGAGATGCTAAATTTATAGGGCTTCCCTAAAGAGGTGCTATCTTAAAAATATATCTTCCAAGATTTAAAAAAGTCAACAAAAACGCAAATGGGGGATAATTAGAGAGAAACACTCAAGAATATTTGATTGGGGCTTCCTAGAGATGGCCATCGACAACATGAGCCGAGTAAAACAAAAAATTGGCTTAAGTGGCAACCAACAGTAGACTTCCATGATCACCCATAAAAACAAAACTTCTGCAGAGAACAACAAAGCCAGAGCACTAAGGGCAATTTTGGAGAAGTGGGGATGAAAGGCAAAATTTTTAAAAAGATATCATTAAATGGCCAATGATACTGAAAGGAGAATAACAACCTGGGCTTAAAAATAGCCAACAATGGGCAACCAAGGAAACCAAGCATACTGAAACCTGAGAAGACTGAATAGCCAATCCATAAAGATGCAAACTAACAACAACCGACATAGTTTGATGGTACAAATAATTAAGCATCTAAGTAATAACTAATGCCTAATGTGTGGGGCAAGAAGATGTAGTGAAAATTGATAAATAAACACAACCAACAGAGTACCATAGTAAGTGAAATTTAATGGAAACAACATATACATAACAAAATAATTAGTGAAATGTAATAATTAGCACATAAAATGCTTAAGTTGAGGCCAACCAATAAGAGGCTGCAAGCTGCAACCCATAGAGGTAACCTGCTTAGATTAAGAGAAAGTTGTAATTACAAGACCCCAAGGTAATAGTTTGAAGGGTGAACACAAAGGTAAAAAATAGTCAGCATACAAAAATGTTCACAGGGAAGAGCCGAAAAAAAGAATTATGTAAAGGCATATCACCATGATCCTATTTATCAAATACACTTGAAAGTACAACATATCGAAGCAAAACAAATAGCCCATAACCAAGTGGATATAAACAATTAATTTGCAATGAGCATTTTGAAATATAGCGATTCTCAGTTATCATGTTTAATTATACAATTCAATTTCTATAGATGTCCGTAGCTAATATAATTCTAGATCTTATAAATTTGTCCTTTATTACTAACCAAACACTATTTTGCTCCTTTTGGATGTCAAAAAGCTAATGTTGAAATATAAAGAGGAGAAGTTGTGCTTTAATTAAACATATATGAATGTATAATAGTTTTTAGAAAAGATGATTTTAAGGCCTAACTCATCCGTTTCAACCAAACTATATTAAAAACAAAATATGGATAGTGCCAATCCATGGATGAAGCCAACAATATCAACACTAAGGGAATTTTGATCTCCCAATTAATCATAAAATATCACTGTGGCATTCCCTTGGTAATTCTCAATGATACACTACAATCAATTTCACTAGGGTTGCTTTTATTTCAATTAACAAAATTGAGTTTAATAAAATCTTTTGGTGTTTTGATCCAAGAGATAATAAGGTTTGCTAGGAAGATTAGATTTTGAAGCTTAAATGCTAAATAGGTTTGAATATTGCATATCATTTTTAATATTATTTTTAGTAAAGTGTTTACCATACGAAAGAATAAAACAATATATATTTTATCACTCTCCACTTAATCCTATCATTAATGGAAGCACATTTTCTTTACAGTATTTTTCTTATTCAGTTGAAATATCAGAATAATATTTAAGTAACAATTTTAATGTAATCAATTTTTACCTTTTACTGAAACTAGTTGTGGAATTCTGAGTTATCTTTTTTAGTTTTATTGCCTCATTTTTATATCATATTTCTTTTCTTCTTGATTTATGTTTTCTTTGATAACTTGTAATTGTTGCAATAATCTTACCGTAGCCATTTCTTATTATATAAGACGAGTTGTAATTTGATTATTGAGAAATAAGAGAATATGATTTCTTATTATATAAGACGAGTTGTAATTTGATTATTGAGAAATAAGAGAATATGATTTTCTCCACCTTTCTTTATGGTATCAAAGCTTGGTTACAAACCCTAGCTCTCCTTCCTTCGCTAGAGCCTCTCCTTGCAGTGGCTAGCCCCTGTAGGCCCTCTGTCGGATCGTCTCTTTGCTGGTGCTTTTCTCCTTGCAGTCGATTTTTTTCTGTGCTTCCTAGCAAACGCTTTTCTCCTGGTAGACAATTTTGTCCGCGCTTCCCAACAGATGATCTTCTCCTTCCCTCTGGTTGGATAAGGAAATCCCACACCTGCGAAGAGAAACTACTTCTTCCTATACATGTTCTTTCTGCTATCTTTCGCCAGTTCTTCCTATACACCCTACAGGTTCTCTTTTAGCTATAGTTATCAGCCAGCCTTCTAGACATCTCTCCTTATTCTTGCCTTCCCATCGACAACCTAGATATTAGCCGCACCTGGCTGGCTTCCTGCCTTCATAGTCGATCCTTCCCGAGCAAGCGAATCAACCACAAGCATTCCTCTTCTCCTATGACACAATCAACCAAGAACTTGCTCCAACACTAAAGGTGCATAGCGCTTATGACAAAGTACATCATGAATATGTCGACCTCTATTCTGGAGGTTTGTTTGGAATCAAAGACTAGAAATTTCTCCAAAACAACCTCAGAATTGTCTCATTTATCACAAACAATAAACTCAATGACTACAACTTCTTTCAAGACTCCCATGTGCCTTATGGAAAACCTACAGATTGGAAATCGGGGCAAGGGAGGAGAGACCAAAACCCTATTCTGTGTGGACTGTCAACCTTAACCCTTTCACTAAGGATCAATTGAAGGAGTTGAAGAAACTCTTTTCGACCACGACTGAGCGGCTTACCGGCTTGATGATACACCAAGATATCATGTCCTTCTCTTATCTCGTTAACAATAGAATATTTCGACTTTGGATAATAGATTTAGGTGCAACTAATCATTTGACTGTAAATGTTCATGCTCTCACCAACTATCATAAGTTCACCAACTCCAAATTTATTAGACTTACCGATGGATCTCACTCTAGGATTATTGGGAAATGAAAAGTGAAAGTCTACAAAGATATTCA